ATATATATAAAAAGTAATCTTACATTAGACTAAGAACACTGCAAAAGAAATTCGCACAAAGTGATCAATCATATGAATGTATGTATGTATGTATATATGTATATATATATATAATGTACAAAATAACGTAACTACGTAAAAATGATCGAAGGCTACTCATCACAAATGGGTTCGTATAAAAATGGACACTGAAACGTTGAAAATAAATATTATAGTACATTTATCCAAAAAATAAAAAAGTACTAATAGGTGGGTGTAAAATATTTTACAATATATTGGATCGAATGTTAATTCATATCGAGTCACCTACATAAAAGAATACAAATGCCGTTTATATTACGCCGCTTACATTACGTAACCTTGATTACACCGTTGATGCATGCTCGTTAAAAATTGTCGTTCGTAAGGTATAACGCATTTTTTTTATCGCTGTTCTAAAAAAAAAAAAATAAACGAAAATAAATGAGAGAGAGAGAGAGAGGGAGAGAGAGAGAGAGAGAGAGAGAGAGAGAGAGAGAGAGAGAGAGATGTATGAAAATAAAAAAATAAATAAAAAACATTTTTAGAAACAATGAAATCCCAAAGCTTTACGAAAGAATAAATTTTCTGAGCGTATCAAATCGGGAAGATTATCTTATGCTAATTTATAACGTCAGCCCATACTGTGTTTAATACGTTTCTGCGAAAAAAAAGAAATAAAAGTAGAAAGGAAAAGAAAAAACAAAAAAAATAATGACGATGTTGCCAATATTTTATGCACATTTACAGCATTCTCAACTTCTTACTTCGAGTCATTAAGTTTTTACTTTTTATTGACGAGACGAAATGACGCTTATCGTATAATTATATTAAAAATGAAGGAAATGAATTAAAATAATTTTAAATTCTGTTGTCAGTAGAGTTCTTATGCGCGTGTAAATAATATTAATGCATATATTATGTTATAATTAAACAAATTTAATTTGCATGAAACATTAAGACAAAAAAAACGAATAATACAACGCGGAATGAATAAATTTACAAAATATAATTATAAAGAAATTTCTAGTAATCGTTAATTTTGTTAATCATTATCAGAGCGATAACGTAATTATATATGTAACGTAATTACGTTTAAAAAATTGAATTTATAATGTTTCATTATCGCATAATGAAACACATATATATATTTTTTACTCTTATAATTTTTCCTACACTTTTACTCATTACACATTTCCACTCTTTTCGCAAAAACTTACATACACATACATTTTTATACTTTTTCACCCTTACACTCATACACACTCTCACTCTCTCTCTCTCTCTCTCTCTATCATCCTTATTAACTAATCGATTTTTTAATTTGGCACTTACATCAATTTGATATCAACAGGGTTATTAATCCTCGAGCTTAATGACTATACGAAAAGTTTTATGAGAGAAAAAGAGAGAGGATGCCAAACAATAGACCCGTAAAACATCCAAGAGTCACAAAAAAAACAATGAACTCGATGGTCTTGTGCTTAGTAAGTTTTTTTAACGAGGATTATGAAATCTACAATATATAGATTCTTGTGAAATAAACGTTTCCATGATATCAAGATTCCCAAGGATATATCTTATCGCGATATGTTTATGAAAAAAAAAAAAACAAAAAAACATCGAAATAACACACAATACTTCACTTATATTTTTATATTTTTTTTTTTTACGCAATATTACTTTTTTTTTCGCTTAAGAAAAAATAAAATAATGTTTATTCTCTTACGCAAAACTATTTATATCTCCTCTTGATTATTTTGTTCTCTCTCGTATTGAAATATTCAACGATCGATTAACGATGTTTCTTTTCCTTTTTATTATATATTTGAGAATTTTAATTCGTATTTATCTGAATTTTTAACTGCTTTATTTTTTCGATCTATTCGCACATACATTTCTGTATTTATCCCGAAATCTTCGGACAAGAATTCATTTTAATGAATTTTGTATTATTTATATATATATTGAAATCATGCAGATCCTCGATAAAATATGATCTTTGATAAAATGATTTCTCTAATCAGGGTCAAATTCTTTTATTCGCTTATCAATATGATTGGATAAACGAAAGCAAAAAACAAATGTTTATAAATATATTATAAACCGTTGTAAATGATTATTATACAATTAAAGTCAATTAAATGACGTGGAATAAAATTATTCAATTTAACAGGAAATTGGAAGTGAATAATTTTTTTTCTCATTTATTGATAAATGAGGAAAAAATAAAATTACAAATAGAAAAGAAAAAAAAAGAAGAAGAACAAGAATGTCAGTTTTATTATTAGAAAACAGTTTCGCCATTATGTAATTCATATTATTTCTGATGAAGTTTTTTATTATCATTAATCGTAATAAAAAAATATCTTACAATCCAGTTTTTATAGTTATACAACTGTATTTAAATATGCATCACGTAGAGCAGAAACACTTGCCGATGAATTAATTACTTGATCGTGTCGTTGACATATTAAAACACGAGAATCACACAAATTAGTTTAAGATAAGAAAAATATGATTAAAATTACAAGTAGATTATATTTCATCTTTAATCGTAAAATAAGCTACGTTTTTTTTATCGGCTTGGAACGTTGAATCAATCAATCAGAAGATCGGCGGGAATATGAAATATTATTTTGTATAATAAGATATCGCAAGATAAATGATAGTAGATAACATAAGTTTGAAAAAAAAAACAAAAAAAAAAAACAAAGAAAAATGACACGAACAAATGACCGTATGAAGGAAATAAGAAAGGTTAAAAAGATGAAAAATACTTACCACCAAGCAAAGCTTCGAGATTTCCATGACTCGGGCTCATGAGATTTTTCGGAACCGGTAGTTTAGTGACTAGACACTTAATTGCCAATCGCCATCTACTTGCTTCCCTTAGATTATCTTCATACTTGTCAAAACTACGAAATCTGAGAGTAATAGTTGTCCTCTCGCGTCTACGGATTCCCTTCATTCGTACCTTTTTGAGTGTATATGCGTATATGTAAAGATAAGCAGAGGTGTCATACTCGTCGTAGGATGCCTGATAAGCATCCATAGATTCGACCAGTTTAAGCTGCATTCTCGATGCACCTGGACGACAGGCGCAACTTCCAGCTGCACTTCTTCGTTTCGATCTCATACACCTGCACCCAATGATATCATTTAACGGAATTGTTTCGATCTTCGTCGAGCCATTACTATCCTTTTGCAAGCTCAACCCTTTTTCCGTAAGCTTCACTTTGTAATAAGTATTTTTCTTCGATGTCACATAGAAGGTCTCCTCGAGAACAGCGCTCGACGTTACCTGACTATCTTCATCCATCTCGAGAGTAAAACATATGTGTTATAAGTATTTTTATGTATGTGTATATAAACTACTGGGATAAGATTTTCTTTTATCTTTTTTTCTTTCTATTTCATCAACGACTTTGAAGGATAACTGACGGGATATACGTCACACATGTTATTCTCCTTTCGCAATGATTTACTTCCTACGAATCGATCAAGAAAACAAAATTCTTCTTGAGATACTCATAAGCGTCATGCTATATTCTCCTTCTTCTTCCTCTTCCTTTTTTATGTTTCTTGCCTTTTACCTTATACACATATAGGCCGAGATTATTAGCCTTAACTCTTGAGCAACAGCACCGTTCTTTCTTGATTTCCTTTTGAACGGGCTCAACGAACGTTCTTACTCGCACTTTACTGTTGCTGTTACGGATGCTACTACCTACTATTACTGCTGCTGTGCTACGGATTACGATATTGGACGAGTTGAACGCGACAATCGTAGCCCGTGAAAAGTGAGAAAGGTGGGAGAACGGGGATATGGAGATAGAAGCGCGAATTATACGATCGAGTTTTTAAGTGTCGAAGGGAAGCACGTGCTGTACGCGAACAAGTATCTAGGTCTTCTTTTTCTCTACTCTTATTCTTCTTCAAACGACTGTCCTCTATTCTGTTAATTGTGAAAGAAAAACGTGAGTAAGTACTTGTCTGCTTCCCCAGAAAACAACCACCTCGTTCTCGTACCGCGAAAGTGGATTTAATTGGTGACGTTTTACTTTGATCAAATCTTTGACGAATAGTCGTATATCAACTGTATCTACTATTATTATTTCTTTATAATATCATTATCACTAACCCTTTATGTCAACTTTATATCAAAGTGACACGCGTTACATTATTCAAATGAATAATGTACTTTTTAACCCTTCGTTTTACTGTCACATCAGTCACAAACAACTAAACATCCAACCACTAACTGAGCTTGGCCCAGACTACCCTCCGTAATCATTTACATCACTTTATGGTTGCTTATAACGCCACCAAGCACCATCGATTGAAACTTTCTTTATCATTGTCTAATAATAAGACATTAATTATATTTTATCTTATCTTTCTAAGTGTTCTATTTTCCTTTCTCATTTTTTTTCATCTCTTCCGATTTTCATTTTTATTCTGAACCTTAAATAAATAATGCTTCTTTCTAATTAGTTAAGCCGATGTGTTTTGATAATTTCTCAAAAGATAACATTTTGTAATTCAAGTATTATAGTTTAATATTCTTCCCATAGAAGGTGTTACTGAACTGATTTGACTGTAGTTGTGGTAGATAATACAGTTTCCTATATTTAACATCTATAAATTTTAAATGTTATAAGTAATTGAACCTCATTATTTACTACAATTAATTTATAATAACATAATATAAGAAACTTTCTGATCATATATTTATCATCAAAAGATTGAATTCATACTGTTATGATTCTATAATCGTGATTTTAATCGTTTGAGTGTCTCTACATCTTCCGTTCTTCCATGTTCGTTAGTGATTCTTTTGTAGTCAGCAGTAGTTTCTTTTCCGGTTTGTCATAATGGTGAGATAATATGAAAATTTTCTATTCTTAAAATAATCAAACAAAATGTCTCATTTGTGCAAAAATCGAAACAAAATATAATTCTTCTACAGACGCAAAATAAAAAAACTTAATTAAACGATAACTATTCTTATTCCAGGGTATCGATATTAACCATAAACACGATAGAAAGGTTCGACGAACAGAACCGAAATCACAAGATGTTTACTTACGGCTTCTTGTAAAAGTAAGTCATTCTTTTTATTGGATTTT